ATGCAAATCCATGAAACATTTGGTCAAATAATATTTTATTCAATGATTTGCTTAATCAGGAACCAGTAACCTTTAGTTAAATGATTCTTTACCCTCTTTGAAATAGCTAGCAGCGAATAGACCAGAGGATTCCATTAAATGACTTTGGTCATAAATTAGTAAGTGAAATGTAATGAGCAAATGAGAAAACACATGAATACTTTTATCAGTGTTTAGCATACAGTAGGAGCAGTTTAAATTATACAGTAAACAAACATTCTCATAGGACAGCCAACCTCCATTGCCATTTAGAAAATGTCTTATAGACCAAATGTTCTTTTCCATCCAGCGATCCAAACACAGCGACTTATTTCTATGTAGCACATATCCATTATTCCAGATAGGAGTTTGGTGGGGAGTATATTTGTGCTTGTACATAGGTTTCCATTATAACAACACTTGTTTGTGAATGGAAGCTAGGTTCATGGGGAGTTTATCTACTCTAGCTTTTACTTAAAGCTTCGAATAAACTTTGTGTTCTAACAGCACAGGAGACCTCAGTGCAGCTCTGCAGCCAGACTCCTCTCAATGTGATGGAGTAGGACCTGAACATCTCAACGAGTTTAGCGAGTTAACGAGTTTTAAAATAAACATTGACACTGTTCCTTCGTCAGTGTTTGGAATACAGCTTGAATCCTAAAGATGCCTCTGCTCTAGAGAAGAAACTACTGTTATTTGTGAAATTCTCTAAAGCAGTTGTTGTTCTTGTTGAGGCACAGATGCACATTGCACTTGGAGCATGTGTAGGTGCTCTGGCCTTTACATTTGGACCGCTTGCAGCGTCGCCGCTCACTTACAACCAGTGGCCAGTGACCCACAGCATCTGAACGGACTTCCAGCGTCGGCAGAGCCTTATTTGGACCTCGATATTTCTTTTTCTGGATTTCAACATCAGATGAAGGCGGCTCCCTCTTAATGTTGGAAATTTCCTCGTACTGCATGCAGAGTGCCTGTGCTATCGATGTCCTAAAAGCAAGCAGATCCTTCTGCTCCTTCCTGGGAACATCCAGCGAATCACAGTGCCGCTGATACAACAGCCAGCTGTTTACAATAACTATATCGATAAAGTAGAAAAAGAACCTATGGTAGTACTTTTTGGACCTAAACTGGATGCGGTTAGATGCAATAAGCTCTCTGAGAGCATAGAAGCCGCCTAAGAACTTATGGTGCAGGCTAATGATGCTTGGGCATGTCACAAAAACATTGTGTTTCAAGTTTTTGTCCCATCTCCTGACTCTGGAAACAGAACGGGCACCGGGGAAGTTGCTGGCAACGATCACGGCTCTACTGTCGAACCATTTGACTGCTCTTATCTCCACATTGTCAATGGCGACCCGTCTCTCTTCAAACGTCCCTCTTCCCTGTTTCTTCATATCTGTGTCGCTGCTGAAACGGCATCCCTGGAGTTGGTTTTCCTGCATGGTCCCAAGCGCCGGTACCCCCTTATTCCCAAGTGCAGCAAACAAATCCAAGGAGGAAAACCAGTGGTCGAAATACAGCAGGTGATTCACAGGGGAGTGGACGGCTTTTGCGAGCCTTAAGACGATATTTCCATTTGCCCCGATGTCAGGATCCCCAGGTTCTGGATCCGTTTTCCCTGTGTATATATGAAACGCATGAACCAGGCCTTTTGTGTCGCAAAGTACAAAAATTTTATAGCCCCATTTATGTAGCTTCTTTGGCATGTATTGCTTTAGAATAGATCTGCCCTTGAAAGGGACAATCTGTTCACCGATAAACAGCATTTGGTCTTGAGGGAGAGCCTGAAATTTTTGGAGAAGAGAATCAGCAACAGGTCGGATTTTAAAAAGCTTGTCCTTGCTGGCTGCCATGTGGTTGTTGTCATTGAAGTGGAGGAATTTTGAAATTTCTTCAAAGCGGTCTCGAGACAACACATCGGCCACCTGCGGTACCCGACACTCAGTGGCCCAGTACATTCTTAACCTCGGCAAGCGTACCACACTCATATAAATGACACTCCCAATAAACTGCTCCAGCTCACTCTGATCCAATCTCAGAGCACAGTTTGGATCTTCTTGTGCACAATAGAGATTACTTTGTTGAGCGATGGTTTCCAAAAGCCCGGCGTCAAAAAAGTCCCGGAAGTATTGGACGGGTTCTCTGGTTTCATCGGCGTCAGGGAGGGTGCCTTGCCAAACCGGGAATTGTTTTGTGAAGTTCTGCTTCTGCGCACTGTCCCACGCTACCTCTTCCCATCTCCTCGAAGCGGCGGCTGATTGCCGCCTCGTAGTGGGAGCCCCGATGCTGGCGGCTGTGTCATCATTCAAGTCAGAGTCTTCATCAGTGCTGCTGTTGTCACTTGGAGTCGCTCTGCTGTCATCGTCGCTGTCACGGTCACTGAGGCAGCTGTCGTCACTGTCGATGGGCGGGACTCCGCAGAAGGGTGAGGCGTCCATCTGAAAACAGAGGGCGGGAAATTCCTTTGTAACTCTGCACTGTAACCCAACCAAATTTTCTCTCATCAGGGATTAAACAATCCTTTAGCACATTTAGATAAAGCCCTGTTTTTCTCTGATTTATGTATGAAAGAATAATGAGTAAGATTAACAAACGGAAATGAAGATCTGTTGATAATGTGATGGATTTTTGAGGTTAAATTGATCAAAAACATTTCAGTTAATCACAGACCAACCCATAGGTGGTATTTAGGAGTGTTCCACTGCTGGAAGGATAAGACTTTAATTAGAGAAGTGAAACATTTGAAAATATTAAAGGAAAATTCTAAAATATAAGCCAGGAGTCAATTTGGCCTGAGGGGTATAGATTTAAAATCTTATCAGGATATTTTGTGGTACTATATTTATAACAATAAATGTGAGCATAAAAAAAAAATAATAATTTGGTTTGGCGGTGACTACATGCCACAGCTATAACAGCCCCACAATCACAATTACCATTCTTGAAAGTATATTTACCTCCGCCAAGGCGGTTATGCTTTATTTGTCCTGCTGCAGCAGAGTACTGTCTTAATAAAAGGCAGTAAAGAACATTAACTCGCTCTCACATCCAGTGCGCGCTGCACTCACAGAGTAACAGCTGTAAATTGACTGAAGTAAGAAGGTTTGCCTCATTGCTTAAAAACTAGTTACCAGGATATTCTTGAATCCATTTATTTATCAGGATGTAGAATTCATAAATAAGAAAATATAATTAATAACTTTCATTCATGTTTTAACTCTCTGTATGATAACATCCCGCATTGTGTTCATTTATACCTGTGCCCAAACCTGTGAAATATTATAGATTTTTTCTACCTGTAACTGTATGTTTTATATGGGTACCCGCCGATACCTGACCAGGTGCAGGACTCTGACCCTCGGCTTTTATCCAGGTCCACCTTGGGTGTGACCAGCCAATACTTGGTGATATTGTTACCACGGAAACTGGTTAAACTTCTCCAAATCTCATGTTGTAATAATAACTCGCCTCAACAGATCCTACAGATATTCTTAAAATTTTAGCACCTGGGTTGGAAATTTCACAACTTTGTATTTCTTTAATCAAAGCTAATCCTTTACTGATTTTGAAGCCTTTATTTTGAAAACTTAGATACTTTAAAATGAAGGCCCTCAACACCTTCAGCTTTCTGACACACTGATCTTAGATCTTTTCAAGACTGTGGTTGGGGAGCCTTTATTTTAGAGGTAAAATCCCATCCTTTTGCCACTAAATTTATTTTAAGTATGTTGACCTTTTGGTGATGTGCAATGTTGATTTCTGGCAAACATGTAATATTATAAAAGGATATTTAATTCTATTTTGATTGGATCAGGCCAGAACTTTTTTTTCCTTTTTAGTAAATACATTAGAGAGAAGTTTGATTTTCCCAGGTTTATTTACACTTTTTAGTACCGCCTGTACCTTAAAGCAAGGTATGATGCACCGATATCCGAGTTTCTATGTTTTACATAAATAGTACACATTTTCAGCCGTTACGGCCTATTGTAGCGAAAGCGCGACAAACCAAAATCAGTGAATATGTTCGTGAATCTACGTCATCCTTCGTCCATTTCAACACAACAGCAGTGAAAACATCCCATGAGCTAATAAACATATACATTTATTGAACAACTACTTACCACGAAAGATAATTTTTGCAGTTAAATCGCATGTAGTCTCCAGACATAATACTTCCGCCTTCACTGGCCGGAAGTACTTAACCCATCGACCAATAGAATTAGATTAAATCCTCCCCAAGCGTATGTCAATGTCGCCGCCATATTTTGAGTGGCAGTTTCTTTGAGATGCGGGTGCTACGACAAAGTCTGTTATCTACTTTCCCAAAATCCAGGGGCGTAGGTTTGATTTTAACTTTGATAGGGACACTATTGGTCTGATGTCATTGGTCCTATGCAAAAATATGCACGCTCGTTTTTTTATGCTTGACGGGAAAATCAGGGTGTATTTCATTTAAAGAGAAAAGCAGCAATTCTTGCTACATTTATACAAAGTTTATAACCACTACACACACTAGGTGCTGTTTATCAATGAATGAAACTTAACTGGTTCTGATGAATGAGGAATTAGGACTTTTTTCCTCTTTGAAAAGGTTTGCATTTGAAATTACCAGCGACTAAGACAGTAGGTAAATCTGTGCCTATTTAACAGAATGTAGTCTAAATATGTCTGTTATATGTGGATTTATACTTTTTTTTTATTTTGAAGATATAGAATTGTGCAGAGGTAAATAGAGGTAAAACCCACTCTTTTAAATGTTTTCTTTGTATCATGAAACAAAGCGAAATAAAAGATTAAAGGGACACCAAATAAATGCATTGTATTTACATGTGCCCTGGGACTAGAAGAGGAACTGACACTGAGCACTTAATATATTAACCTCACTCTACAAGTTGTAAATCTAGGATGTAGTTACTCTATTTAACCCATTTCATGTATTTTATTTAGGGCTGACACAATTCACCTTATTAATCAATTATTGAAATATTCTCAAAAAATGTAGTAATCAATTAATCGTTAACTGGAGTATAGAGACTCTAAAACGTGTCTTTAGCTCACAGAGTGACCCACTTAGAGCAGAAATTATACCAAAATTGTAAAAAAATAAAAGAATATTTTTAATTTTAGACAAAACATGTTTTCATCTGTCAATATTCTCCATCCAGAACTCCTCTACTGCTGCAACAACGCTGTTTTGTAAATTATAAACATATTATTCACATGTAATTGTTGGTAGGGACGCGTAGGTCGGTCCAAAATTTCGGTAGGGACATGTCCCTATAGTCCCTATGCAAACCTACACCCATGCCAAAATCACAGGATTAATACCAAAACCTAATGTCACAAAATTAATGCCCAAATTTAATATCACAAAAAGAATACCTAAACTTAAAGAAGGCTATGGTGGAATACGTATAGTGCCTCCTTGCATAATAATAAATGATGAGTCACAAGTTTTTTTGTAACACATCTGAAAAAGATGTGTTACAAAAAAACTTACTTTCTTCTATCTGACCAGATGTTGGTACGGAAAAGCAGTAGTCAAGAAAAAGTACCACGGTACGCATTTTTTATCAAGTAAAAGTAAAATTGATCTATTTAGAATAATAGGATTGGAGTAAAACAGTAATTAAAATACAACTCAAGCACTAAGTGATGATAACATTCGATTAAATGTTAAAAAAAAACAATATATTAGACAGATAAAAGATACATCTCTGTTCAAAATCTGGTATTTTGAAAGAATAAAGTAATAAAACAAAGCATTTTTTTTAATTCAACAAACACTGCGACTGATACTTCCAGCAGTAACATTACCTTTTGTGACAACTGCTAATTGATTCACCTGACCTCCTCAGCAGATAGAAATTAACATTACAGTTTGTATAGAAACAGTCATCTTTATTTTTTCATAAACTACAAACTATCTCTCTGGTGTATTTTTGTTTAAAATATATATATTATATAATATATATATTATAGCTTGTTCTACATTCACAGAGAGTATTCACTATGGGTCCAGATATCAAAATATAATCTGTTTCTCTGACAAACCTAAAAGTAGCAGTTCTTTGGAAAGCCCTGTGTGTGTTAAATACACATAGAAGCCATACAAGTGTCTTTATGTGAATCTGCCTATATTTGGCAAGGTTGCTTAAGAGACCCTTTAAATAACAAATAAGTAATAGTGTACCACTTATGCAATGATCTTCCTCATTAACTAAAATACAGTCTTTGCGTATTTTAAATTTCTACTTTTATTTATACATTTTTTTTCATAAAGTGGGCCATAGCCTTGGACACCACTTCTTGTTTTTAATAGTGTTTACATTTAAACACATGTTTAAGGCTTCCATGTTTTACTGATGCAAATAAGCTCCTTTTTTTCCCAGCAGTTTGTTTTCTTTTGAACTGAGGCCTGGTGTATCTAAAACTGATCTTATTTAACTACTAATTTGGCTTTTTGTCAAGAAAACAACAACAACAACAAAAAAATGAGGTAAGTAACATGCTACTGTTACGTTTTACAGATTGAAACTTTTAAATGTATTTTTTCTAATGGTAAAGTCTTCATGCATCTTCTGCTGTTTTTTTTATTTTGTTTTTTAATTTGCAGAAAAAGTCATGCAGAGCAAGACAGCCATCAGAAATCAGGCTGTAAACTGACCCTTCCTGCTCTGTATGACGATAAAAGGCTCTTGCTCCAAAGGCAACAGTTTAAGAGGGACAAAATGCTGAACCGGGATGAACTCTACTTAACCCTACAGGGAGTTGATATTTCTAAGGTAACAATTATCTGTTCTGACACACTACATAATTGTGGACGTTTTAAAGGATAATATGAATTGAAATGCTGTCATTCCACTGAACTATTGGGGAATTATAACACTTCTTGCATCTGTTCTTTATTTTGTTTGAGTTTTTCTGATTTCAGGTTGATTTTTTTTCCTGATACAGGTTAATGGGGCCTATAGCAACACCATGGGGCACCTCAAATCTCGTCACATGGAGATTAGCTATTGGCAGGCCCTTATTAAAGAGAGCATCCATCTGGTGGACAGTGAAATTGCCTATGTGGAGCAGGTACCTGTGTTTGCAGTGAAACCATCAGAACACAAAGTGAACTCTCTTGTGAGGTTGTCGATTGTGCCTTCAGATGAAAGAGATGGTAGAGCACTGCCTCCATGAGAGGAAGGTGTACAGTCAGCTCATGGGTCGCTGTGTGGCTCTCAGCAGATGCTTGGGCTCAGCCAGTCTGAACCACGACCAGGTCTTTGTCCAGCTGAAGAAAGAGGAGCGTCTGGCCATGGAAAACAGGGAGGTGCTAAAGAAGCAGGCTGTTATCATCCTCAACAAACTAAGGTGAGATATTTGAAGATGAAGGTTGAATTAATTGGACTGACACAAAAAGAAAATAAACAATGACTTCTGTCTCCCTGCTGCAGCTCTCTGAGGAAAATCCGGTATAGGCTAAAAAAAGATTTCCAAGACAAGCTCGAAGCCTTAAAAGTCACCACCAGATGCATCACATTTGAGATGACAACCCAATGCTCTGGCTTGACTGCTGGCCCACTCAAACCAACCCATGTGAGCTATGAGCAGTGGCTGTCTCAGTGTCAACACCTGAAGATGATGGCTGATAAACTTGTGAGGGACTCAACAAATTGCAGAGAAAAGCTGCAGTTCCTCCTGCTCAATGTAAGACTGCACTGGATCTGTAGTTGCTGATAAGAGCACCACATTAATGCCATGAAGCTTCCTAAAAAAGTCTTGCTTTTGAAGTTGGGAAAAAAAAGCTTCTGCAGTTCTGGCTAAACCTATTTTAGTGCTGGATATCCAAAAAGTATGTTTTCTCCCTGCTTTTTTTCTTTTATAGTCATATCTGGTATTTGTTTCCGCTCTTCATTCTGTCAAAGTTTTCAGCACATTGTTGTTGAGTAGAGCTGAAGGTGTGGAATCTTAAGGCTATCCTCTTCTCTCCTCCTCTCTTTTTTTATCCATGTTAGCAAAACGACCCCACAGCATGATGATGCAATCACCTTACTTGACACTTGGAATTCTTGATTCTTTTAACTGTACCTCATGTCACTGAGTCCAGGGATTTCATTTTTTTCTCCTCTAAAAAACATTGTTAAAAAGGCCCTGTCATTGTGGGAAGCTTCTTTTTCAGACAGTTTTTAGTCAAGTGTGAAGGCACGCACCCCCTCAGTCCATGCTAATGTACTGGTGCTCCAGACAGTGAACCAAAAAGTACTTTGAAATAACCTGTGGCTATCCTTCTTTTGATATCTCCAGCTGAACGGTTCCAGTGAGCGCCAGCACTGCAGGACCGGCGAATCACTCAGGAGGAAGATCCATGACCTGACTGTGATCGGTGATAGACTGAATATGGAGAAACATCGGGTCAGTGTGCTGAACATTTTCACACAATCTCACACCATCTGACATTTGTTTGTACAATCATTGATTTTTCTGCAACCTCCAGATCAAGCTTGAGATTTCAGAACTGACCAAAGATGTTCAAAGATTGGACAGTCATATTAAGAGCTTTTTTACCCCCTCCATTGCCACCCCAAACAGGCAGAACCTTGACGTAGCACACCAACGTCTGACCTTTGTGGAGGACAAACTGGCTAGAAATGCTCAACTCATTGAGGTAGCTCAGAGGTGCCAGAACATCCACCAGAGCTTCAGGCAGGCTGTCAACTCAGCTGTGGTTCTGAGTAACAAACCCAGCCTTCAGGCAGTCAAGGACAGCTCCAGCACTTAGGCTGACCTGCACTAGATGCATCTTTTACAACTTCAGAGCTGCCAATAAAATGCATATCAGTGTCAAATTGTTTTCTTTTACTGTCCATCTCTCATGTTTTGTTTCAGGAAGGTTTAATTTGAAAGCCTGCTTTTGCCACTCATGAAAAAAAAAAAAAAAAAAAATTATTATATCTAATAACTAAGACTCAGCTATCTCATAATTATGTGAAATTATAATTATGAAATTATAAATATATATATATACCTCATTGATTAATTAATTAAAAATGAAAATAATGAGACTGGCAGGAACGGGCTTTCATAATGTTTAGATTTCAAACCAGTGAGGGGTTCTTACATATCATTTTTTCCTCTTCCATTCATTTCTGCATTAGTCATGTGTAACCAATGTGAGCAATATTTTGTTATATTACCTGGGAAACACCAGAGAAACTGCAGTAAATAAATGTATAATTAAGATTCTGCACAGTAATAGAATAAATGATGAAAGTTTTGAGCTATAAACCATCAAAAAGATGAACTACATAGAAAAAAAAGCCAAAATAATATCTATTATTATTTTATGTATATTTTATTATATTATTATTTTCCACCATTTTTTTTTCAATTATTGTTTTTCCTGCAAAAAACAAACTTTTTAAAAACGGTTAAACCCGATATAAATATTAGCAGAGAGGCCTTTGCCAAGTGTCCTCTGTTTGTTCCTGGATAAACGCGTCAGATCTATTGTAGCAACGGCCCATAGCAACGGGCCCCTGGAGACAGCGGCCGTGTGAAGGTATGCAACGCTGTGGTCATTTCATACCTGGAGAGGGAAGCAAACAACCCAGATACATTACCAACCAGCCCGTTTAGGAGTCGGACCTGAAACGAGGAAATTTGAAGATGGGATGTGCCAGCTCCTCAAACACTGCGGTCCACCCGCTGGTCAAGACGGGCCCCTGGAACCAGGTATGGTCGCTGTATCCGCCTGCTTTAGGCTACCGAAACTCTGCAGAAAATAGGTCACATTTTACCCTCAGCCAGTATTCTTTCAAGAGTTCAGTAAGTATTTAACCCTTTACATATCGCAATAGCGCGACATGTCTTGTACGCACGGGGGAGCTAGATAGGGGGGGCAGGGGTGGCCATGGAAACCATTAGCCAATCATTGGCCAATGGCCACCCCTGTGGCCACCCCTACCATTTATTTCCCCCTAATATAGATGGTGGCAACAGTAATATTCTCAAGTGGAATATTCAAAAAAAAAAAAAAAATGTTTTCATATATTAACAATTACTTGACAACAGTTTTTTAGGATGTGGAGTTTGTATTTTAAGAAAGCATTTTTAGAAATCTTTACAGTAAAAGTTTTAGTAGTGTTGTTTTGTAATCTGGATAATCAGCTGTAGTTCTTTGTGATTCTTAGTATTGGTCGCACCTTTAAGGTGAGACCTATACTTTATTGGTAGGCTACTTCTTAAAAAACTTTTTGAAAGAACTGTTATTCTCCACTTTTGAGACCAAAAAAAGAATGGAGAATAACAACAACATCAATGGAAATTCAGATATTATTCTCCTTTACAAAAATAGATCCACCATTCTTTTATTTTCAGTTTCTTGACTACTTCAACTCAGTTTTTGAAATTAGATTCAATTTTTTCAGTGTCAGTATCTGTTTTCATGCCATGCCCCTCATTCTCAGATGGATTTTAGACTGAACTGTGTCTGCTCAGTCTCAGGTCCTATGCAAATGAAAGGTTTATAACAGTTTTTTTTCCACTATTGTTCCTTATTTAGTTCTATTACCTTTTCTGTAACATTAAGTGAAAAAAAAAAAAGATTTGTACAACATGATGCTGCCACCACTGTGTTTCTTGTTGGTGATGAATTGGTAGCAATATGAGGAAAACAAAAATAAATGCCATATTGAAGTTTTTAGATGTAACCTAAAAAAATTGGAAGAAGTGTTAAATTAGGGGCTTAATTAGGATTAATCTGTCGATTTTTTTTATCTTAAAGATATAATATTTACCGTATTAATTTTCATACAATTTTGGTATACTTGCTGTTGCTCTGATGGCTAAAGCTACGTTTTAGTGTCTCAATACTCCAGATAACAGTTAATCGATTACAAAATTATTTGACGATTTCTTTCAATAATCGACAATTAATCTAATTAATTGTTTCAGTCCAAATGTGAATATTGTTGCAAGGCATTTTATGTAGACAGAGGCAGAAAGGTGGGTTGAAGCTGAAGAGTCACAAGAAAATATGACTTAATTGCAGGGAGGGTTTGCATTGACCGTATTTGTTGGTTTAAAACAGGGTATATTTTAGTTTTTTTGTTAACATCTGAACAGTTTCATGGCATCTTGAAAATATAAAAAATATGTCCAGAGTGTGAAAGAATTTAGTAATGTGCTGATTTGTGTTCTTCTTCCTGCTCCCTATGCCAGAATGGAGCAGGTGGTAAACCCAGTCAACGCAGTGACTCCGCTGGGTCAAAGGGCACCAAGGACAGCGGGGTTGTGATGGAAAACAGAGAACTCCAGGTGTCAACTGGAGCAGTGCCTGATGAACGGCCTCCTGAGTCCTCTGACAGACTCGGGGAACATGAAGTTCACAGAGTTTTGCCAAATGGTGAAAATAAGCTCAGAACGAGCCGAATTAAATTAACTTTATTTTCTTGTGTAAAAAAAAAAAGAAACATCTTTAAGCTGTTTTTAAAATGTTTTTGGGGTGTTTTAGATGCTGCTCTGAGATTGCCGCAGGGTGACCTCTCAGGACAGGGGCGTCCCAAGTCCAGGGACTTAATGGAAGAGCTGTGGACTCAGGGCATCATCCCAGTTGAGAGCTTAACGAAAGAGAAGGGAACTGCCTTCTGCATCATGGTGGGCAGCTCAGTTTTTCTGACTGAAAAGATTATCAATGAGCTATTTTAAAATCTGGGCTACCTTTTAATTTACACCTGGGCCTTGCTAATTTATCAGTTATTAATTAAATATTTATATCTGGATTATGAGATTTGTCAAAATAAGCAAAATACTTATTTGACTTGTATAAAGCAAAGAGAGTCAATGGTAAAGGCCGACTTCAGGGTATTAGCATGGCTTCTAAATAGATTCAGAAACAATTCTTATTTATGTAAAAAAAAAAAAAAAAAAAAAAACAGAATCATTCAACATTATTCCACCTAAAGTTTCTAATCATATAATTTCTCATCTGTCGCTGAATCTCTTTAAAAGGGAATAAGCAGTATAACATATTTTAGTATAAGTGTTTTTAAATGTTTAGCATTATTATCTAAATGGAATATTGTTCATATTATGTTGAACTCAACCATTTTGATAAAGACACATTCAAAAGCTCTCAGGTTTTTGTACTTTAAACTTTTTTTAAAGCAACTTACTTGCATTTACTCCCCTGAAAGCATTTTGAAATGTCTGAATTAATAAACTGCAGATGCAAGTTAAAGTTTTGGAATATTTCTAAGGAGAGATGACTATGTTTGGAAACAATTTCATTATGCTGCTAAATGCATCAAACCTTAGCTGCATGTGCTGTTAAACACCGTCTATAAGTGCATAAGGAGATAGGGGATATATATTATTTGGAAAATAGCAGGTAAGTTAAATCTGTATTGCTTCAGCAAGTGATGTGAAAATGTGTGTTTTTCTTATAAGCATGAATCCGTCACAAGGAGCCTTCCTGCCAGACTGGAGCCCCTGAAGGTCAAAAAGTCTAAAAATTACAGCAGAAAAGAGCTTGATGAGAAAATGAGGCGGGCTGAGGAGAGACGCAAGGTAGGGTTCGGGTCAAAGTTTTGTTTCATGCACTCCTTAAAAAATACCTTAAATGTTTCCACATTGCAACCACAAAATTCAGTGTTTTTCCAAATAATTATGTCATTTATAATTTTGTAATAATAGAGTAGGAATTTGTTAGCTTTAAGATGTTTCCCTTATAAAAAAAGAAAAACTTAGCATGGGCCTTAGAGTTGCTGTGAGTCCATACTAAATAATTATCACATTTTAGTGCAGTTATATCTGCAAGTTATTAAAAGTACAAATACTTAGACAAAATTTATTTTCATTTTGTATATGCAGAGTGTATATGAAATTGAATTACATCGCTTACAGCTTACAACAGTGAAATAAGAAGCTTACAAAAGTGAACCACAACCATTAAAAAGTGCAGTAGTGATCAGAGTGTGAACAGTGTAGGAGGAAAAGAAACCCGTTTAAAAGTTATGGTGCAAAAGGCATTGATATGGAAAGGTTCAATGCAATGAAAAATAAATATGCTGCACAAAAAATGTTGCATGTGTGATCCAGAGTGCAGTTTAGAGTTAACAGTTTAACAGTCTGATGGCAGCGGTGAAAAAGCTGTGGCAGAACCTGCTGGACCTGCAGTCAATGCTCCAAAGCCTCTTCCCAGAGGGCAGCAGGGAGAACAATAGAAAAATACAAAAACCACAAAAGTACAAATACCAACTTAGATCTTCTACAGACCCTCAGATACTTCTTTAGAAAATAGTTCAGGCTTAACCAGATTGGATGTAGGATCTGGGAGATCAAACTTGGTTTCAGATTCAAGTCCTTTTCAGGTTCTAACAAGGCTTTGTTTTGGTGATGGTGCTTTCAGGCTGATGTACTGTGTTTTTTTCTCTGTATTTGGCATGTGGCTCAGTAAGTTCACGTTAGGTTTAATCTGAGCAGAGCACCTTCCTTGACTTTTTTTCTTGTGGCAGACTGTAAAGAGACTTATTTTTCCCAAGGACCAGATTCTTCCACCTGAGCTTTAGGTCTCTGAAGCTCCTGCAGAGTCATCATAGGCCTCTTTGCTGTTTGGCTGGACTTTCCTCTCCTGGCCTGTTGAAGCTGTTTTGTTGCACATGCACATTTTTCTTTTTTTTATTGTTGTTGTTGTTGGTGATAGATTGAACAGAATTCAG